CGGCTCTCGAGGTATTACATACAGCTGATGCTACTGTCGAGGTTTTCTTGTGGAACCCCATTAAAAACGTGATGAAAAATATTTCTGTTTACAAGTTTTTGATATAGAGAAGAACTGTGGCCTCCCATTAAAAATGTGTTTCAGCACTTATAAGTTCATCTGCACATACAATTTTCTCTTAATGCCCCTGCAAAGTCCCACAGATACCTGCTGATCTGACCAGTGATGTCCGCGTAATGAAGCTTCCTGTGAAGGGGTGACAACAATGCTGCACTGCTTCTGAATTCAGAGAAGAGTTGCCACTCTCATGTAGGCTTTGCCTGCTTGCAGTACAGTAGAATGTGCAGATGTTTCAGGGGTCTTGGCTATCTGTATTGTCACTACTGATTCATAAAGTGGTAGTTTGTCAGTTAGCACCTGGCCACTCCTAGTCCGGCCCACTTCTTTTTTGGTTTGACAGCACTGCCTCTGTTGCTGAAATCTGAAGCTGCAGTGTCTTGGTGGACGAGCGAGTGATGACACAAATGATGATGATGGCTTGTGTATCACATATTAACCGGATTTAGGGCTCGTTTGGTTTGTCATATAGAACAGGAGATTACTGTTGATTTTATAGCTTTGTGAAATCCAGGAAATTGCAGCAAGCTATACTTCTTGTTGCATAAGGGAAATTCACTTCAAAGACCTACCCACTTCCAAAATTAAAAATGAAAAGGTTTTTGTTGGAGTTCCACTTTAATAGCACACAGTATATCACATTATTTCTAAAGCTGTCCACCTCACAATCTGATTATACGATCTTCTTTAAATGTGCAAGTAAGGGCTTCATGTACACTGCAGCTGATAAAGTTACGTTTAGGAGCTGCTCAGCGGTTTTTTTTAGCAGCCCCTGAACTCTCCCTAATGTTTTCCTATGTGTCCATGTACACATCGTCGTTTACAATCGTTTACAGGCAGTTGAGTTTACAGTCGTTTATTTTAACTCCGAAAACTTCCGTTCAGCAGTAGATTGTATCAGCGTTTCAAACGCAAAACCCTGCTAAACGCGTTTATAGGCGTTTGTGGTTTAAATTTTTTTTTAACTCTTCCATTTCCAGATGCTATCCAGAGCCCTTTTTCATCATGAAAAATGCATGCAAAGTGTTTTCCCGGTACTCAAATGGACCCGGTACACCATACTTTGAGGTTTTGCATGAAAGAAAGTATGTTAGATGCTGCTGCAATAATTTCTGCACAGAAATGAGCTGGAACACATCCAAACACCACAAAAAAAAAAAAGACAGCTAATCTCAACAAATACTGCTCTCTCTGCTTCTGCTCTCTATTTTTCTCAAAATGTCTGAAATAGTTCATTTTTTTTTACTGTTTTTCAGTGCTTTCTTGGCATTTTGGAAGGTCTCCTGAGGTTATTTTAAAAAGTGCAAATGCTCATAAACGCGATATGCTAAACAGCCGTTTTTTAATCTACGTTTTCTGCCAGTTTCCATCATTCAGAAGTGGCCTAACTATGTAGTGTAAGGGATTCCTGGGTAAAAATTTTGGATATTGTTTAGGCAGACCCTCACAATAAATAAATGTTGTTTTTAAAAAGGCATTGTAAAGTTATATTGTAGTGTGTGGGACCAGTTTTGAAAAGGACAGAAGTAATGGAGTTTAAATTTATTGGAAAAAAAATACTTTACCTCTTTAGCAGACATTATGCAGTGCAGGGCCTGACACCCTAAAAATGCTGTCTATGTCAGAACCATTAAATGAATAGCTTTGGCACTCTAATAGAATATAAAATTGTAATTTTTTTATTCCACCTGTTCTTTAGCATGTATTATTCTCGTAGACTTCACACAAATGTCTCCACAGACACAATAATCAGTAGAAGCAGTTTTTGGAGCGCTACAAGTTACACCTTTAAGTGGAGAGACAGGCTTGTTCATCCTGATCTTCAAGGCTCCCAGATACATTATTTTCCACGGCAAAGCTTCCTGAAATCAAATCCCACTGGGCAGACAAGCACTCAGGCAGTCCCTTGGTATACATGACATGAACAGTTAACCCAGTTTTTCTTAGTGAACCTGCTAGTATCTTTCATATTATTACGGTTGGCTGACACTGAGGTACTGAGTGCCTGAAATGCTACCTGCTGCTGGAGGGATTGAGTACTGGTCTTGTCATCCGTATTGTTAATTTATGCTGCACTTTCAGAGATACAGCTTGTCCTCCGGAAGAGTCATAAATCCTGGCCTTATAAACGGCAAAGATTACAAAGGATCACTCAATGGTATAGCATGTTTTTTTTTCCTCCTTAAAGCAGCTCATAGATTATGCAATTTTCTTTCCATCCACCATGGATGGATGGAAAGAAAATTGCTTGGTTCCTCCATCAACACAGTCAGCACTTTTGTGTTCTCCCAGCACGGAGACTTCCCTGCCAGCAGAACACAATAATCACTGCTGCCAGAAATAACCGCCTGCAGTGATCGCATTAAAAAAAATACATCAAGCTGGTCCTTCGATCGACTTCAGTGCAGCCAGCTTATAGATGGATCGAATCTTGGCCAATCCCTGCTGAACCGGCTGAGATTCGATCCATCTATGGCTAGCTTAAAAGGTTCATAATTGGCACAAGAAAGGGTTTTTTTTTTTTTTTTTTTTTTTTTTTAATTTTCTTCTTATGTGCTCTATCTACAATTTGGATTATTTATTGGCATTTTGCAAAAAACAAACTCAAGTCTTGAATGTGCAGTTCCATCAAAGTTGTTCTGCACAATTTGGTTGTAGTGGAGCAAATACCAATCTTGAAGTTCTTTTGCTGCCTGCCACCGTGGAATCACTTGAATCCTTAGCACAACCCTAAAAGTGTGAGAACTTGATTTTTCAGATGAGATGTCTCACAGACCCCCATAAATTCTTGAGAGGTCACATGAGATCTTTCTGCTAGGGTTACAGATCACAGAGAAACCTGTAAGGAAGCTGAACCTTGCTCCACTCCATACAGAAATGGCTTTTTAAAGGGCAATTTTTAATTTTTTTAAATCCATGTTATATCTGTTACATTGCTATTCAAGCTTTGTTTACAAATAAACATTCAGTACATGACAAAGCATACTTCTCTGGGATCTCTAAACCAACAGCAATGTAGAAGCTGCCAGTCTTGAGGCATACTTTGTGACTTGCTGCTTTTGGGGTGTCAATAACAATGTATGGCAGCACAAGTGCAATGTAAAATTTTTGGGAGTCTCGTGAATATGTGCAAATTCATGCAATTTTGCATTCATTCACATACTACTGTAGTGTGCATGTGGCTAAACGGAGAACATACTTTCAAAATATTTATATTTTAGACCTGAGAATAAACTTAAAATTATTGATAATGATTTAAATGATGACAGTTTTATTTGATGTTGAATCTGTTTTGGGTTAAGTAGCTTTTATATGAATTTGAGGTTAAAATATGTAGGTAGATATGTAGGTGGTTGGGTCTGGTTCTTGTAGCATAGAGCCCCTAGTGCGGAGCTCCCTAAGACATTGGCTTTTTCCTCCTTTGAATACATTTTAAGGCACAAATTTTTCATCTTTTCACCACTCTTATATGAGGACAGTTACTTTCATTACACCTAATGTATACTCAGATATTTGTTCTGTATAATATATTGTTTATTAGGAAGAAATCTTGAACTCTGAACCCATCATAAGCCCCTTTTGATTTACGTACTCTTGGTGGAGAAGCCATCCTGTAACTTCCTTGACAACATTGCTGTTTTTGTTGTGCCCATCTTATAATACCTACCAGTTTTGTAATGTAGTAAAAGAATCTATTTAAATAAGAACGCTTATTTTTATATAACAAGATACAGCTTGATGGTGCAAAATATCACTGACGCACTGGGTTTGTTTCAAGTGTGCCCATCTCACTTCAAAGGCTTTAAGATTGAAGGATGTAATGGTAATATGGACTGGATGTTGGCCAGTTAGTCCAAGTGTCTCCTCCTTTAGTGTCTGGCTTATTAGAGTGGTTTGCCATTACCTGGCATCTCTTTTTATAGTAAAGTTTGGGTGCCAGGTAATGTATCTAATTTCACTTTTGTCCCCCACTTTGCTGGACATGGTTGTTGACTGTGTTACGCAACGGATCAGTCTTACAGTTTTACCATGATAGCTCCGTTCAGTCATTCTAGATCATGCTTATAGGCTGAAAGTTTTATTGGCCCGATGTAAGGGTTAAAACAGTAATTTCTTTTATTTTCTCTACTGTGTTGAAAATTTGTAAAGATCAAGCTGCAATTTACACTGATCGAGTTGTCAACCCACATTGCATCTGCCTTGTACTATACACACTCATTTTCAGGAATGACAAAATTCAATAAAACTATTCTAGGATGTGCTGAAACCTCAGTAGAGAAAATGCTGTGCTCCTGACCAGCCTGTGCAACATAAAAGTAAAGAGTAGCCTCAGCCTGCATGTCTCCACCCATTGGCGCGTTTCGCCCCGATAACCGGGGCTTATTCAGGATGTGGTTGTGTAAAATATTCATGCAGATTTAAAGTAAACCTGTGATGAGAAAAGATGGGGGGCTAACACAGATGTTTTCTTTCTGAAAATACTAGTTGCCTGGCTTTTTTTGCTGAACCTCTGGTAACAGTACTTTGATTCCCTGAGCAAGAACTGGTATGCAGTTATTGAAAGTCAAAGAAAAGGCAGAAGAGTGGTTAAAAGTATTTAAAAATTAATTTCACCCTCCCTCACTTTTTTTTTCTTTAAATCTTTTTCCTTCATAACTATATTCACACTCCCACCAAACCCAGAGTAGCTCCACAGTGATCGCTGATTCACAGTCTCATGCAATGTCCTGCACTGTCATCTTTTTCTCTTACGTAATCAGGGAGCCAGCTGTCTCTTCTTGGTTCTTTCAGCCAGCCCTCTGATAATGCACATGGGCAGCAAGTCTTCATCTGGCTGCAAGAACCAGGAAGTGGCAACTGGCCCCATGATGAAGTGACACGATGCATGTGCTGTAGAGCAGGCCTTGAAATTTCCACTCGCCTGCTCGTTAATGGTGGGGACGAGTGTGTCCCCCAGGGCCGTCTTGCTGAGCAGGCTTGGAGCTCAGGCTGGATCTGTCATTGACACTGGGAGCCATCAGACTGCTCAGCACAGTGAAAGCAAAGGAAGGAGTGTGTGCTGTGCTCTCTGCCTCCCCCTAGAGTGCAGTACCTGGCTCTGTGAGTTAACAACGAAGTACTGCAACTTTTTATAGGGTGTGTGTCTGTGTTTGCATGTACTTGTGTCTGTGTGTATGTACATGTATGTATCTGTACATGTGTCTGCGTGTATGTACATGTACGTGTGTGTGTACGTGTGTGTATGTGTGTGTGTGCATGTACATGTGTGTGTTTTTGTGTGCATGTACGTACATGTGTCTGTATGTACATGTGTCTGTGTATGTATGTACATGTGTCTGTGTGTGTGTACATGTGTCTGTGCGTGTGTGTATCTGTGTGTATGCGTGTCTGTATGTGCCTGTGTGTATACATGTGTCTGTATGTGTGTGTGTACATGTGTCATGTGTCTCTCTGTGTGTGTGTATAGGTGTCTCTGTTTGTGTGTGTTTGTTGGGGGCGAGTAACTCTTAAGGCCTGGCTAGTAGCTCAGGACTTGAAATTTTAAGCCCTGGTGTAGAGTACTGTGAGGCCTCCTGGGACAACTAGCATGGTACTCCAGGAGGCTGCGGGCAATTTGGTAAGTCGCCTAGATGAGAATCCTGGAAGCCTGGCGAGGTCTCCCCAAAAAAGTTTCCCACTGAAAGATTACCTCGTCGTTCCTGTTCTGGTGACCGCTCAAAAGTTTGGATTTCCCATCACATTCTTTCTTATTGATAGTCATTGCCAGAATAAATAGAGGGGTGAACATGGACAGAAATTAAAAATTGGTTATAATGCTTTTATCCAAAACTAAGAAAACAGGTTCGTCTATGCGTATAATTTAAACAAGAGGTTAAGAATAACAACCAGACAGCTAGTATTTTCAGATGGGAGCTTAGCAGTGGCAGCCCCGTTTTTTTTTTTTCTGGACTGGTTTCCTTTAAGTTACCAAGGTGACAAACTCTAGTCTTATTTTAAACGTTTGTGTAAAATGTTTTTTTTTTCTTTTTTTTAACAATCCTTCTTAAATTACATTCTCCAAGAGAATCCAAGTCATTGCAAAATGCACAATGCTCAGTTAAGTGCCATTCATCCTGAATAGCATCCAAAAACATGCAAATTTGCTGCAATTGTGGGTAAAATCATGCCTGGCTCAGGGCCAAAATTTGGTCCCTGAGCTTCTGTGCCACAACAGACGTGCATGGGGCAGTCCATTCAAGTGAAAAAGTTGCAAGTGGGAACACTTGTTCCTGCTATGTATTATGTGAATGGGGCCTTATAAACCAATTGCTAGTAACTAATTATATTTATAAGGTAGCAGTGGTATGGCCTTACTGTAGCCACAGTGCTACTTTGTGATAAATAAAAATGCACATTTATAAATCACAGTGGCTTGCTTTACAAATATGCATTCCAATGGATACAAGGACCTGGAAGGAGGAGAACCTGGTTGTGTGACCTGTCAGCCATGTGATGGAGTTCCCCATGCAGCATTAGGCAGGGAGTAAACTATGGGACCGTGAAGGTTTCACGCTGCGACCAGTATATATATGGTTTATGTCGATGCAGTATGGAGCGAACCCTACGGTGTCCAGCAGGAGCGAACACTGTGGTTTTTGCTTTCCTTAAAGTAGCAAGTGATTGCTATACAGATGGAACAAATGGCTGTGTATGGTGTGTGCCTCAATATTCACATATATATCAATGACTCTTCCATGATCACACAAGGCCATGATCGGCCATTGATTAACTGATACTATCTTTTAAATCCTGCATGAAGTTCTCTGCTTCTGTTCTAACAAGATATCAGCTTAGACAATAAGGAGAATAATCTAGTTCACTTTCTATTACTAAATCTCCTGGTGCACATAAAGTATGGGTTTCCCTCTCTTTTATGATACATAATTCAGGAGGTCTTTGAAGATGCCGTGCGTTGTAATGTCTCTTTTTACAGTGTTGACATCCATTGGCCTTCTAATCTCCCGTAATAAAATGCCTGGATTTTTTTTATCACTTTGAAATCTGAAAGACCATCAACTTTCGGGGACATTAAAAGGGAGTAAGCGTTATTTAAGCACTTAGAGGATGATATGATTCAAGACTAATATGGTTAGCTGTATCCTTAATATAAACATGCAATAGGCATTACACAGCCATGGACTGCATTACTAGACAAAAACTGTTTCCCCTTGCCAGTGACCATAGTTGGAGATGACAGAGGTGTTCATTTCTCTGTAGTAAGGGAGATTTGCTCTACATTTTTGTTTTTTAAGGAACAGCAACCTTTTAAATGATGATGTGTTTTCCAGAAAAAAAATCAGTGAGCTACCAAAAAAAGATATTTGATTTATACTAGAAACATTCTGCACATAGTATAGAGAACTTCAAATATTTGCAGGGGTTTAGCTCTAGAGTTGTACAAACACACAAATATAAAACTATCACTGTGAAAATCTAGGAGTGTGTGACAAGCCATAAAACACTTAGAAATTCTGCCTTTACACTTATGCTGTCCATATGTGGCTTGAATTTGGTCCGATTCCTACTGAATTGGCTGAAATTTGAGCCGCGGATGGCCCTGTCAGCACCATCCGGCTTGATAAACTTCGAAAGAGCAGGCAAAAAATTCTTGGCAGCCAGTCAGATTTGGTCTGGGCAGCACAGTGGCTTAGTGGTTAGCATGTCTGCCTTGCAGTAAATGGGTCATGGGTTCGATTCCCAACCATGGCGCCTCCTGCATGGAGTTTGCATGTTCTCCCTGTGCTTGCGTGGGTTTCCTCCGGGTGCTCTGGTTTTCTCCCACACTCCAAAGACATGCTGGTAGGTTAATTGGATCCTGTCTAAACTGGCCCTAATATGTGTATGTATGAATGTAAAGTTAGGGACCTTAGATTGTACACCCCTTGAGGGTTAGTGACTGATGTGAATGTTCAATATATTTGAGTAAAGCGTTGCGTAAATTGACGGCGCTATATAAGTACCTGAAATAAATAAATTCATAAATTTGGTCACTGTTTGGGGATTCAAAGAGCCCCTTGAGCAGCGGCTGTCAGAATCCAATAGCTGGCAATGGAGATTCCTCTATCCACACTGCTTAGTGTGTCTAGAGCAGGGGTGGGCAAACTTTTTGACTTGAGGGCCGCAATGGGTTCATATATTGGACCCGGGGGCCGGACTAGCTGCTGGCCGGCCCAGCCACTACCATGCCATCCATAGTAAGTGTAGTAATATTCCCCCATAGTAAGCATAGTAATTCATCCCCCATAGTAATTCATCCCCCATATAGTAATTCATCCCCCATAGTAATTCATCCCCCATATAGTAATTCATCCCCCATATAGTAATTCATCCCCCCTATAGTAATTCATCCCCCCTATAGTAATTCATCCCCCCTATAGTAATTCATCCCCCATAGTAATTCATCCCCCATATAGTAATTCATCCCCCATATAGTAATTCATCCCCCCCCTATAGTAATTAATCCCCCATATAGTAATTCATCCCCAATAGTAATTCATCCCCCCTATAGTAATTCATCCCCCATATAGTAATTCATCCCCCCTATAGTATTTCATCCCCCATATAGTAATTCATTCCCCATATTGTGTCAATTCACTTACCTTTGCTCCGCGCGTTCCTTTCGCCGTGTTCCCGCGCCGTTCCGGTCTTCAGGGCGGACTGTGAGAGGAGAGGAGTTCGTCACGCTGCCCCGCCTACATCCTGACAGCCAATGTTTGCCACGCTCCGCGGGCCGGATTAAAAGGTCCGGTGGGCCGTAGTTTGCCCATTGCTGGTCTAGAGGAACCTATTGATTTCTCTCATTCGGCCTGCAGGGCTTAAAGTATATGGCTAACCTTATATTGGCTATAGATGGCTCAGGTTTTAAGTGATTCCTGCTGAATTGGACAAAGTTTGCACTGGGGGGCAGCCCTGCAAGCAGCACTCAGCTCAACAAAAAGTTAATTTAAAAATTGACTGTAAGGGGTGGAAAATTATTTGTGTGGATGCAATGATCTGAGGGATTTTTTTTTTTCAACTTGCTGATTCATTAAAAGAACTCAGTGTGTATACCCTGCTTCAGCCTGGGTGCAGAGTAAACATAGACCATGATTTTGTAAAACGTTACCTGGGTAGAGCCTGGGGAAATGAAAAAGTTGTTACATCTATCCTTAACATGTATGACAAACCAGTCTTGTTTTGCCATCCTGCAACATTGGAACCCATTAACCGCACAGCTCTCTGAGAAAAAGTAACTCCTCACATACTTTGTGAATGAGCTCCCCCAGCTTCACAGCATGACCTCTTGCCCTGTGACTTCTCTTCTTTTGAACCATATTCCCCCTTTGTTCATTGTTTAATGTCTTAATGCACTTGAACTGAAGAGTCAAAAGAGTGCATTTATCAAGATGAAACTCGTTCAGACGAGCAAAGCACCTTTAGAATTGCTTTTTCTCTCTTCCTATTTACTAAAGATTTCCTTCAGGCTTAGTAGAGCCATGTTGAACGTGCTTGTGACATTTTATTTCTAGAGGGAATTGTTCTGCAGTTCTCATCTTCTGTAAGCCGTAATAAATATTTTATTATTTTGTTTTATTCCTTTGTAAGATATGCCCTATTTTTATCTAGCGTTTTCTGACGTAGTTACAGAGAAACGTCTACTCATGTACATTTTTTTAACTGAGGTCATTCAGCCTGAAGCTGGCCATAGACGGCCAGGCTAGAGCTGGCCATATACAGCCTGTTTAAAACAGGTTATAGACAGCCTGTCTAAACTTGGCTATAGACAGCAATGGATGGTCAGTCTAAAGCTGGCCATAGATGGCTCTAATTTCAGCCGATTCCTGCTGAATTGGTTGCAATTCTAGCCCGGGGTGGTCCTGCAAGCACCCTAAAAATCAATGTAAAAATTGACTGAGACCCTGTAAAAAGAAAAAACTGAGCCAGGTGGAAAATGTTCAGCTGAACAGTGACCGCACCCCATCAGGTAAATTCACTGAGTTCCTGAGTGCTACATTCGAATGATGGATGGTGCCATCAAAACGCAAAGTTTATACACAAAGGTATCACTGGCACATCATAAATGCGTTTTTTGCCATGATAGGACAAAGCAACCCTTTGGTGCCAGTGAGGACTCCTTTCCTAAGTACATCAGTTTTTTTAGCAGTTTTATAGATTTGCACAAAGAGGAACAATAAAGCAGAATCCCTGTGTAGCAATAGTAATAAGGAGAAACATGCTGGATATATTCTAAGCAAACGTGGCTGTGTCTGTGCATACAGTTGTGCTCAAAT